ATCTAATTATAAAATTTTAAATTTAAAAAATGGTTAAAATCAAGTAGATCTATAAACATATGGAAATATTGAAAATGGACGGTGTAGATAATATGCTGTAAAATGCACTATTTCTGAGACTTAAAATCTTTTTATTTTTCATAGTCATACATCTCGTTGTTGAGATGATCAATCAAAGGGTTTTTTAACCTTAAAACTACCTACTCTGATGGATTTTTGAGGGGCATCCGTAGTTCTACATTATAAGGTAGCATCTTTATATAAACTTTTTCCAAAAAATAATTACCAAATTATACTTATATGATTATAAGATATTCAGAATATTTAATTAGGATTCTAAATACTTTTGTAATTTATTTCAATTATATTTTTGGTATAACTAATTGCATATGTATGTATCACGTGAACATTATAACAATTACTATTACTATTAATTATACTAACATAGTAATTAGTTATAACAATTATTGATAAATTACAATATAAAAAGAGAATAATTATATGCAAATTTATATAATTATAATTTTACAATAAATTAATAATATTAAGTTCAAATTTTAATAGTGCTTCATAATAATCTTTTTTATTACAAATGAAACTATAATTAACATCTTGAATAACTACATTTATTTTAATTAGGATAAAAAAGAGTGTTGAGAGGGAGGAGATAGAGAATCGGTGGAGAGAGAGAAGGGCGTGCATGTGGGGAGGAGAGAGAGAGCAAATGTTTCTTGAATATAGGTGAGATATTGAATATAGGAGAGATAAAGATGTGATAATAAATGTGTTATCAAATTTAAGAGATAGTAGATAATTAATATAAAAAAATATATTAAAGAATTAATATAGGAGAGATGAAAATAAAGGTGAGAGAGAATGTGGGGTAGAGAGAGAATGTGGGAGAGAGACCACATTAAAAAAGGTAAAAAGAGAAATAAAGAGCTTTAAAATAGGAAATAATGTTGGGGCTTTCAAATTTGGGGCATATTAAATATGTGATTGATTATAGAGAAATACATTAATATCTAACTATTAATATGAAGAGCTGGATAATTCCAAGCAACAAAGGAGTAAAATGG